ACCAGAAATAAATATATCTTTGATATCCCTAGAGTCAAACTTAATCTGTGTAAACACTTTTATGAAATAAAGGGATCTAGTCTATAGAACTCACTCCCTAATGAATTGAAAAGTTGTTCAACTCTTTCTTGCCTTACTAAAAACAAAACCAAAAAGTACCTAATTTCATCTTCATAGTTTCCTACCTAGTGCTTTATACTCGCACTGTATCTAGTGCTACCCAATCCCTCAATATATATGTACCTAAGCCATACAACTTTACATTTGTAATCATAGCTATCACCTTATATCATGGTTGTTATATCGAACGCAATTTTTTCTGCATTATACCTTTAAGTAATCCTCAAATTATGCTACAATGTACCAGTTGATAATCCTCAAATTGTATTTTAATGCACCTACTAATCTTTGTCAAATTTTCTTACAATCTACTTATAATCATTTTTTAAATTTTGCTAGAAATTACCTACGTAAATTATCTGTTAGATTAAGGACCTGCCCGAATCGCTATGCGTACTAGTGGCTTTACAAGAATGCAAAAATATCAATGCTATGTACTCTCATAAACCCAATGTACCTTCATGTATATAAATAAATAAATAAAGACATAAATGATTGTTACTGTCTGCGGCGACTAGTTTATTATGCGCCCCATACCCATTCTGTGTGGGTTGTGAAGAACGTTTACAGTTTTCCAGTTTAGTTTATTTATTATGCACCCCATACCCATTTTGTGAGCGGTAGTGGAAAGTGTTAAAGAGGCACATAATGAGCTCAGGTGTAATTAATAACCCGACCTGCTCTTCCCTTTTCTCACACTCAATACCCCAGCTAAACACTGCTTGCAGATCACTGTGACCCTCATTGACCTACCAGCTAATATTAAAAATTAAATATTAAATGAGGGGGAGCAACAAATGAAGGGTCTATTAATTTAAAAATAATGAGTAAAAACTTAATTGTACACTGCCACCACCTTCCTGACCTGAATGTGTCTATATTACTGATCTCCCAGGAAGGACAGAAATTAATACATATGAACTCAGAGGGCGTAGAAATCTTGATAATAATGCTTGGGGAATAAA